AATTCAAGGTTAACAAATTAATCTTTTATTCGTATATAGAAAAATTCGAATAGCACATTTCTATCTGCATTTTGTACCGATAATATTTTTAGCAAGATAATAGAATCTTTACGGTAGAACTATTTAGCTCATAAAATGCAATACTACTGAAAGCAATTGATACTAACGTTGGAAAAACTCCAGCTTTGTACACAGAAGTAGTAAGTTCAGACGCTTCTTTTACCACGACCAGCATAACGCCTAATAAGAGATTTGAAAGATAGATGGTGAATAGCAGTGGAATCCAAGACGCACATTTTGTCCTACTCGAAACTGGATGTACCTGAATCCCAGAGTTAATGTTCACTCCAGGACTCCGACCCGGTAACATTTGCTTTAAATACCATCACGTTATCCATTTAGCTATTGAGTCCAGATGATCACCCATTGCGCAAGCTAGTAAGTTCCAAATAGGACGAAACGTGTGTCCTGGATTCCACTGCTAGCCACCATCCATCTTTGCTTATAATGCTTGTGACATAAGTCAATATAGAGGTAATCTGCACAGCGTACACATATGCCAATGAGAGACTGATCAATTGCAGTCTTAAGTATCAATGGGAAGATTCAAGCAACTAATACAAAATGAATTGTAGGATGACTTATTTTAACTAATGTACATGTATTATTCACCTTTGTCTTGATGTACCTCAGATCTTGTTACTATTATTATAGTTATTATTATTATTATTATTACTATTGGCGTTTCTTTGTATTGCTGTTATTATCATTCGTCATTTTCTTAACATACGGATAATTTGGTCAGTACTTAACAAATTTTGTTAGTTTCTACCGATATCAAATCACTTCATACACTACGTGATCTACGATCAAATATGTAATCTGGTTTGTTATCATATGACTATTTCTCTCACTCTATATTATCTATATTCTTTCAGATTGTTCATCTTACAACTTCACTGAGTATATAAATTTGTTCTAATTAACATTCCAAGCTAATTATTACATCATTAACAATTACATTGAAATGAAAAATTTTTTTGTTTACTGGTTTCCATTTTTATTTATATCAAACTTTCATTTCATTCTGAAACAATTTTATATTCTCATATATATAACTTCAAAAGATGGGCTTACCTAAAACTTGGTATGTCGATCATTCATTTGGATCTATAACTGTAGAATTTGTAATGAATTTATCGAGTATAACAGTTATCATTCATAGATGTGTTTTAATCCGGTAGGATTTTTGAATGACATTTATTGATAATGCTCACTACTTCTTAGTAAAATTAAATTTCTTATCCTCATACAATGTGCTTCATAGTACTTTAGTAATAACCAAATGATTACAAATTTATAACTAAAAATTTGATGTGACAAAAATTTTTGAGTATTGAAATTCAGCTTCTCAAAACTTTCTGAACGTTATAGTTTATTTACTGAATACACGGGGATATTGAAGCATAAGATTATTATCTATATCTTTAATATACACCTCTATAACCCCTCTTTAAGAAGTGAACGATAATAGTTACCTGCGGCGAAAACAGTATTACGATTTTAAAAAAATTAATAAGGTGAAAAATTCTGCTTAAAACTTGAGTATATTACACAGAATTTTCTTAACAAATCCAGTTCAGTTTACTCTTGTGTTTGCACACCAAAATATATCTATACTTTAAATAATCACAATCGGTTGAATTGTGTCCTATAACCGAGTCCTATGAAAAGATAGAACTGATATTCAAGTATTCGAAGAGCAATATGTTCTCTACACTAATATTTTAGTCGCGAAATAGAATGTCTTTCCAAACTGTGCTCATTCTGTGCCATGACTAAAATTTGTTACAGTGGAGATGGAATTTTACAGCTTTTAATGTAACTTATACACGGTGGACGACAATATTGGTAGATAAATTTTACACTACTTTTTAATAGTAAATAGTACCACATAATCACATAAATTAATTCACTGTTTGTACTTTTCACGTAAATCATTATTTCATAAATCGTAAGTCAAAAACTTGTAAGTTTTCTGTGACAAGTAATTCATAACTGACTAGTTTCAACGATGCATGGTTCACTTTTTAGATATATCGTTACTATATGAGAAAATTATAACATTATCATATGTAAACAGGTTTTTTGAAGAAACTGTTCAAATAAATGTACCTCATTTCGAAACAACTGTAATACTTATAATGAGGTATCAGTCATCAGATATAGGTTGTCTACGATTTCTTAATTATTAATTAAATATAACACAGGTTTAAAAGCCATTAATGATCAACGACATTGACAGTGTGGAATTAGCTGTGTTTTTTTAATTAATAACATTTTAGTTATTAGTAAAGATACGATTCATTTATTTCATTCATTTATTTACCACGAAAGTAACTGATTAGTACAATAGTCCTTAAAATTGAATATTATTTGGTCAGAATTGGTCAGTTTCAATATTCAATTTGATTGTAGGAAATAAAATAGTAAGGTGAATTGATTGTTTCAGCTCTCTTCAGATTTTTCCACAAGCCATAATGGGTTGATGTTAGAAGAAATGTCGGTATTGATAAGAAAATATCTTCCTCCCTCTTATCGCTTCAAACCGCCAGCAACGAGGCTTTGAGAATAATCATATGGTGAAGTGAAAGCATATTATGAGACATTTGGTCCGTACTCTTTTTATGAACAGTGTAAAGGACAAAAACGGATGGCGGCTAGCAGTGGTATCCAGGTTGATGATGTTCAGTTATACATGTAGTCAAACTGACGGATGATTTTGAGTTTAAGCACGAAAGCAAAGTTAATAAATCAGTTTGCAACCAAATGAACACTCATTGGATAAAGCGATTACGATGTGCTTTAAATGGTCAGTTACCGCTTATTTTAATGTCATATGTTAGCCAGTATATGAGTAAATTGAATACAAACGAGGAATGATTAGATCGAGCTTTAAAGTATTTAATCAATTATTTGAATTAATCCAGGAGATTCACACAATGTAGCTAAGGTTCATGAGATATATGGTTGGAATCGTTGCTCATCAAAGGTGTCAGTGAAGCAGACACTTCTATATTTTATTTTTATTAAAATATTAAGCCAATCGTTTATTCAAACTTTATATTCATTGACTTCACTAGTTTCATTTTAGATATGTATTTCTTATTTTTGTTTTTAGCTGTGTTAATGCGATCACTTATACTATTTACTTTTGTTTTATTTCGTTCAAACAGTACTGACATAAATTTTGCGAACTATACTTATTCCATTGTCGACTTAGTTCACAACTGACTGTTTGATGTAATCACCGTATCAGATAATTTCGTATTATAAATCGCTTGCAAAGATGTATTCATGTAGAGTGATGGTTGGAAGTAGCCGACATGAAATCCCGTGTGGTCTAGGTTGCGCGCTATTTGATACTCGTCAGCATAGTATACCTGTAATCCTGAGGGAACGGATGCTCCCTGGAGGATTTGGTCCCGTGTCGCCCTACTTCACAGTTGGAGGCGTTATTGACGATTTATTTGAGTCGCAACTTACCTCCTGTGGGACTGATATGCATTTAAAATCGATTGATAACTGAGTAGTAAGTTGTAATAAGAAGGACATGGCATATATAACACTGGTCAATACTCAGCGATCAATCATTTGTAGAGTTCTCATGTAGTAGATAGATGTTAACACTGGCGGCCTGCTTGAGCATCTGGGCTACCTGTTCCTGCCATCTAGATATTTCGACAAGTTATCTATCTTTGTTTGTTTTAATATATCATTATGTCTATTAATCGCACAAACTATTCTGCTGCGTTTCTGAAAAGTGTACAACCTTACGTTGTCAAAGTTACAAAAAGCTCAAAAGAGAGAATATTGTTGCTGGCAATATACAACGAAAAGAATGTACATTATTCAGATATTCATTTACTGGACTGTTAACATCTAGCTGGCGATCACTCAGTATTTATCGCGAGGACCGACGAAGAAGAAAGAAACGGAAACTTGTTGAAATACTTTGTGCTGAGAATTCTATATTGTACCAATAATATAATATTGAATAAAGCTAATAATAATAATAGTAATAATAATAATTAATGAGTGAAAATAACTTAGTAGATGCATATTTAGGGCGGGACCAAAATTCATTTAGTTATAAGATCACATACATATTATTTTCAAAATAATCGTGCTTAGTAAGGTGCAAATATTAGCAATTAGGAACCTATGCATGAATAGAGAAATTAGGGAAAAATGATATAATCTTGAGGGTGTATTTTCTTCTTTGCTGAAGACTTTTTAGCATTGAGTGCCTTGGACCTCGTGTTAGACTATGTCAAGGACCTTAAGCTCTCACAACACCCCATTAGAAATTAAAATCCAATGGTCCACAAACAAATCATAGATTAATTAGTTGCTCACTTATTTTAATGCGTCATTGTTGAACAACATGACAAACTGACTAAAGTTAAATGAGATACTAAGCCAATTACTAGATATAGAAGTTTCAAAATAGATCTACAATAAAGTTAAGAAATTAGCACTCCTCAGTAGTTTCAGATCAGAATAAAACACCTATTCAATAATTCTTAATTTACAAAGATTATTTATATAATTCATGTTTGACAAGAACTATCTTCAAATTATGAATAAATAATATATTTGTAATATCCCAATGAGTAGAAAATTAAATTTTCTGACGTTTCGTGACTTAGTGTAAGTCACTTCTTCAGAGAATAAATAACCAAATTAAAATTAATCCAAGTTTAAATAGTTTAAATTGTTCCGTTGTACTATTTAAACTTGAATTATTTTAATTTGGTTATTTATTCTCTGAAGAAGTGACTTACACTAAGTCACGAAACGTCAGAAAATCTATATTACAAATATATTATTTATCGATAACAATCTACCGAATGCTCAATTGATTCGAAATTATCAAATCAAACCTTGGTGATGATACACATATCTTCAAATTAAGCTATTCTCCATAAAACAACTCGTTCAATGAAAAAAAACATCATTTCATATATATTTTTATACAATCTATTTATCATTTACACAACACAGAATAAAAACAATAAAATCAACCAATGTATTACACCTAAAACATAATAAATAGACAGGTAATGATAAACAAGTATATCCATCTCATCTCATCCACCCCTCACCACCCTCACCCCTTCTTTTTACCAATTACATATTGTTATCCAAACAGGTAATAATAATAAGCAACATCCTTGAATTGACAAAACAAAATGGAATATACAAATAAGAATTGAATTTCAAAAGGTAGAATAAAAGAATAAATAAAATGTAGACAAAAAATAAGAAAAAATTCATCAACTGAAAAGAAATTTCCAAAAATAAGTAACGTGCAAATAATCGACTATTAATAATAATATTAATAATCATGGCATAGTTACTAATATTGTTCTTCAGTAATACATGATGTTAATTAGTCTATTTTTGCTCAACTAATAACGAATCATTTTAATAATCAAAATAAATTACTTCTTTCTAAGATTATTATTTAAATCTGATAATTGAATTGAAAAATCTTCAATCATGTTATGACATAACAAAATAGTTTGTTTTTCATTCAATTAATCATATGAAATAGAGAGAGAAAAAAAAGGAAAAACAAAAAAAAAGAGACTAAACGAGTAAACAAACAAATGAAAATCCAAAAAAGAAAACAATATTATCCTTATTACTATTAGTAAACAATAAAACTATATAAAATTAATTCATTTCATTTGTCTGCTTTACTTTAAATCTTTACATTAAGTGATACAATGTGTAGTAGAAATTGGAAGAGAGAAAAAAAAATGAAGACGAGAATAAAATAAGGAATAAAACGAACTATGTTCTTTTTTTTTACAATATACATTATGAAAGACATAAATCTATGGAATTCATATTTTCTTTTCTTTTTTGTTTACTTTTATTGTTCTTTTAATATGAATTCATAATAGTGAATGATTGAAGAGAAAACAAATTACATGAATACATGAATATACACTATCAAATTACGATAATGATTAGAAGAAAAAAAACAAAGAACTGAATACATCCATTCAGATTCATTATCATATTAGATAATATTCATGATGTTGATGTTGATAATAATAATAATAGTAATGAATCACTCAAAAGTGATGTATAATTCATCGGTAGTTATATTTTTTGTTTATTTTAATAGTTGTCAAAAGAATAGGAGAGAAAAGAATATACTATTCATTGTACTTGATATTATTAATAATTGATAATATTCAACTGAGATAAATTTGGTTACTTATCATCTTCACTAAAAAGTAACATAAGAATAATCACATATATGTATATACAGTGACTGAATCAATTTTAAGATGAAAAATAAAATGTAATAACCAAAAGATATAATTAATAAAGTGTAGATACCCTACTAAAATTTATTATGATATTTGTGGATAAAGCTTAGAGCGAATTTGTTAAGTCGGCTTTCCGAGAACTGCAACGGAGCCTCCAGAGGCTCTAGAAGAGCCGAAGAGTCATAGCTTATCAGAGCATGATGAAGCTTTCTAGAATGTCAACGTGGTGTGTTATTATTGGTCAGTAGCATAATATGTCTTTTAGTGGATTGGCTAAAATATGATGTTGATTTAATAAATGTTAACATCTATAAATACCCGTGTTTTCTGTACAAAAACGAAACTTGGAGTAAAGTATTTTCTCGCATACTTTGCGCCTTCTCCCTTGTGTTCAAGTCGCTGTATAGTTCTAACTTGGGGGTTACAGAATAGTTTAGGAAACGAATATAGCGTTCAATTCGCAAGACTTATCAGAATTAATATTTGTTTTGAATAGAAAAATCACAATCTACAACTATGAAATAATATTATTCATAAACACATAGTTCTTTTTATTATTTTGAAAAAAGAAAGAATAAAGATTCTAGCAGAATAGTTTTTCGTTTGACTTACTACATAAAGAGGCTGTATGCTTTTGGGATTACTCGTTATTTACTCTTACAATTTGCCAATTCTTGCATATTACCTATTATTCTTTTTTCCGTTCTCCATTATTCTTTCCCGGGCTTTTGAGAAAAGACTTTGCTGTATTGCAGAGAATGCTGAAGGTAGTTAGCGAGGTGTATGATGAATCTTTCGAGGTTATAATTAATATGGTTGTGGATAGACATTTAAAGTCATGCAAATTCCTTGTAGGTGTTATCTTATCAGATACTAACCATCCCCTTCACTCTTATCTTTCTCCCCGTATATCTTCTGGTAGAACGAGACGTAATTACATTAAAATCCATGCACACAAGCAAAAGTATAAAAGTTCTATAATACCTTATCTGGAGTCAATCTAGTCAATAACATGTATTCTTAAACAAGTTTCTAATTTGGAAAGTTGTACAGTTTCTTTTTTTTCATATTTTTCCATTCCTTTTTTATGTCTGTTTTTTTTTGTAAAAGAAACTTGTTGAAATACCTTGTGCTGAGAATTCTATATTGTGCCAAAATATAATATTGATTAAAGCCATTACTAATAACAATTCATTTTATTTCGTCGGTTCTCACAGATTGTAAGTAGTGAAAGAGAACTAATGAAATAAAATGAACTCATGCTATTCAGCTAGAATTTTTGTTCTTGCTCTTTTTAATATAAAACAGTAGTTTTATTATTAAATACTCATAGTCTATCTATTATTCGGATAGCAACTAAATATTTCTGAAATTGTTCCATGTTTAATTAGTGTTTTTAATGAGTTTTAGAAAACTACTCAATGTGAAAGGAATTTTTATTCCCTCTTCATTTCATTAACTATGAATATTTAAAACAGTAGATTATATAAACGAATATCATCTTATAAGTGATGAAATATAATCTGTTGGGAAATACGAAGATTCATCAGTTAATTTTCCGACTCTTCATAATTTATAAAGGTATATGTCTTTTAGCTCTTATCATGAAGATCATAACACCAATATCGATGTTGAGTAAACTATAAATTTCAATAGTTGAAATCATGAGTCGATTGAACCTAGACCATCATATGGAACCTGAAAGCACTTGACGGCCGTTCCGACGTAGTATGGGATTCACTCAGCAGTGCGCATCCACGACCTCACTCCCCGCGATATTTGAACCCAAGACCTATCAATCTAGCGCGCGTGAGCCTAACCACTAGACCACTGAGTCAGCATCCAACACTGTTAATATCTAACTTCAACCAATCCACTAAACTGCGCCATCGTAAACCATTGTCTTCAGTGAGCTTATGTCTCACAACAGACCTGGTTGAACTCCACTGGTCACGGCTTCCCACTTAAACTCCAGAAAATGCCTCTTGAAGTCAGTCACAAGTGAGCAGATGATACTAAAACAAAACGGTCGTCCAGTGCTTCCAGGTTTTCCATGATGGTCTAGCTTCAATTGACTCATGATTTCATCTATTGAAATGATTAAGTTCTCCACAAAACCCCTTCTGATAAACTATGAACTACCTGTAGAACATATTGATTTTTGTTGAGAGGTATTACGTTTTTGAATATTGCAATAGAATTTTGATACTTTTCACCTCATCTTGTATTTTACTGTGATGACTTGTAGTATAAGTAAAGATAGTCTAAGTATTGTATTTTCTAGTTAGGATTTCAATAACAGGAAGAAATAACTTTTCGGTGTTCTATGACTTTCGAGAATTCTCAAAAAGATGTCAATTAATAGATAAAATCACAAAATCGTGCTTTGTAACTTTTAATCAACAACCTAGATATAGACATATTCAATGATTCATCACGATTTGAGGTTATTTTGAAAACTTGTACTTTATACAGTTCAGATGATGTACATCTTCTAATTGTTCAATATTTTTAATGATACATAGATTAAATGTTAGAGCTAATATTTTAGTTGAGATCCCGCACACAGGATTCGAATCTAGGACCTTCCGTCTTACGTGCGAATGCTTAACATCTTGACCACTGAGCCTAGCTTTAGTTGACTCATGAACTCAACTATTAAATTACTACAATATCCACAAAAACTCCTTTCTGATAAGAATTAATATACTCACTAATAATCAAGTTCAAAATCCTTAATTCTTAGGAAGACGCGTTAAGTTTCAAACTACTGAGTTATGCTCATCAATCTACGTTTGCAAACATATTATCAAACAAGTAAACGTAAGGTGCATAATTCCAAACTGATTTGTTGTAAATATGGGGTTGTGGATATTGTTCATTTTCACTAAAATCATGAAAAGTTCTAAGTTAGATCACAAGCGAAACCCTGGAAGCACTAAATGGTCATCTTGTTCTAATATGGGGTCCCTTAGCAGTGTGTGTCTACGATCCTGCACGCTGGATTTTCAGTCATGCGCTCACAAGCTTAACGTCCAGATCACTGAGCCGGCATTGAGCGGTTTTGATCTCGATCAGTCCACAATATTGTACGATCACCTCCCATTATCTTCTGTAGGTAACTACCCTCTACTTAACACGGTTTGTTACTATCACGTGTAATATTATGAAAACAAAATATAAGCTTAATAAAAACTTACTTGTTCACATTGATAGAAGATGAATTAACTAACCGATGAACCGGTTTAGATTTCCATGATAACTCAGAAACTTGTAGTTTTTTTTCACTTGGTATAGGTAAGTCCATACTTCCGCCAAAACTAGTTCGTGGACTTACTCTATTCACCGGTTTTGATGGGGGATCTAAATATGATATATTTATTCTATGTGTTTGATCATCATTATTTTGATTAGTATTGTCTTGATTAACATCATTATTAGCAATACATTCTTTTCCAACGAATGCTGTAAAATCAATTGGCCATGCTGTATTTTCACTTGCTTCTGAACTAGTTGAATTCTTATGTGATTTTTTTGTTGCCATTGTTGTTGTTGTTGTTGCTGCTGTTGTTACATCTGTTTGAATATTTACAGTTGGAGTATATTTACTGAAGAAAAATATATACAGACATATTTATTATGAAAAATGATTTTAAAAAATAACATTTCAAATGATTACCAGTGATAAATTATTTCAAGTACAGTAATAAGAACAAACTTAATGGAATAATATGAATTCATTCATTCAGTCTTAACAACAATAGTTCGAGTTGCCATACCACATTAGCACAGAGATGCAATTGTCAATTCAAATCCCGTTGTGGTAGATGTAGTAAGAGTAAAAGTAGTAATCGGAAACATTAGGGTTTGAAGATGCTATTCAAGGAGTATAATCCAGTTAAATAAATTTGGAAAGAGAAAAAAAGGACACTCAGAATTCAGAAGATTAGGATTTGGGAGAACACAAAGAGTAGATGCATTGCATTTCACAATGTCTCATCATCTACTTACAATCCAAACAAAATATTATTAATCATTCAAAAGTAATATACATTCTTTGTATCATAATCTTAGAAATATTCTCATCGATAATGACTAATAAAAATAGTTATGAATATGGAAGAATTTGGGATACAAACCTAGTTTCATAAGAATTAGCCTTAAAAGTAACGAAATCGATTCTAGACTAATGATTACTTCGAAAATGTTTTATTCACTCACGAAATTTGTCTCAATATAAGAAACGAATCGCTCGTTGAGACACTTCAAAGTGGACAGACGCTCATCTTACGTTTCCCGCAAATACCAGTTTACATGTAAACGCCAAAGCACACACATACACAAAATGAGGAGAAAGAAAAGTTACTATTTGCACCTTCGAGTACATTCCTCAAAAGTTGAAACCAAGGTGTTACTATGTCTTCAATAGTTCAATCACCCACAATTTACTTGATAATGAATATGACTTTAATGTTTCAAAATCGTTCAAAACTGTTGATAAACGAAAATCTTATTACGTTTTACTGAATCCGTCGCGATCAAAGGACTTAAACCAGATTAATGTTGCCACTCTTTCTTTGCTTTGAACACTATTTCCAACGTGTAGTTATGAAACATATTTTTATTTACTAGTGAAAAATAATCTTCATACTTTTTAAAAAGTTTAATCTGAGCTTCAATGATTCAAATCTTATAATCAGTCTTTGTTGTTGTTATCATTATTGTATAACTTTAAATTTCTATCTCATACATTAATCCCTTTCCACATAACCTACGAAAGTTATATTTTTAGAATCTATGTATATTATTTAACATATAAATATTCTAATAATCTTCAACGATGAGAATATTTCTACAATTATGATACAAAGAATGCCTGAGATACAACTGCTACCCACGAAAACTTATCGAAAAATATAAAAAACCTAAAGAAAACGAGACGGAAGTTATTAAGTTCAATAAAAAACCAGTATCTATAAATCTCAACTTCAAAGGTGATGACGTCGCAAACACAATCAACAAGAGACTGGACAATGCACTAGCCAGAACTTACCCCGCAACCATACTTTTAATTATGTATAAAACAACATGTTCAATAACTCAATCAAAGGTTGACAAGCACCCCTTTCATGTTACCGCCAACTGTATTTATAAATTTACATGTACCTGCCAAAGCAGCTACATTGGCCGAACATAAATGAGGACATATCTTGAATTTTTTGAGCATGTCCCAAAACACCTCAGAAGAAGAGAGAGAAAGAAAGACTCTAAACAGTGCAATCGCTAAACATCTCTTGGATACGGGACATCAAGTCGAACCCTTGCAATTTTTAAGGTGATAAGTAGGCAGCCAAACTCCAGTCGTTTGAAGTTTGCTGAAGCCGTTGCTATCAAGCGTCAAAAACCTGACTTATATGTTCAAAAGGAGATGGTTATTAATCTTTTCTTGCCGTGGTGATAAATATGCCTTCGTTGCATCTTAAACATTTTCTTTAACTCTCTACTGCATTCATTACGTCACCGAGTTTTTATTTCAACTATCTTCTAGACTAGTAATCTTATTTTATTAAATGAGCTTTACTCATTTAATTCCTATCACCGTTTACTCATTACGTAATCACTTGTTTTTAGTCGCTTGGACTGTTGTCACAATGAATGTTGTAGAACTTTCTTTTACATAAGGTATATATTTACAATATTCAGTTTATCAAATTTATTTACACCCTTGCTATACTATACTGATGTGTCTTCAGCATAACTTCCAACTAAACACTTTCATGTAAGTAATTTAAACCCATTATGTAATTATGGTTTTAAATATCATAGGTTGTAAGCAGCTGACAACAACCAACGAAATGAAATGGGACGAAACGGCCGTCCAGTGCTTTTAGGTTTTCCATGGTGGTCTAGCTTCAATGTGTAACAGCAAACTGAACTCTAGAGAACGTATAGTTTAATGTATCATCCATGGCAGAGATATAAAATCTATCACTCTGAAACACAAATGACGTTATAGTGATCCCACCTTCTTGATATATTTATGTTTCGCATTAAATAGGGATAACTCTGTGCTAACAAAATTTATAACTATGACTGTGTGTATACTATCAGCAGTGTTGTACTATAAAATAACATCACTTCTGATTATTCATTTTATCTGTAGTACGTTTGTGATTTCAGAGATCAGATACATTCATCTGAAAATCATTGCTTATATGTAAAACCAGGGTTAAAAACAAATAAAATAATTTAGGTTTCAAATTAAGAAAATGTATGTTAGACACATAATCGATCTTCTAATTTAGTGTCGCCACTTATCAATTATCGACCCATTTAATAAGAATAATAAAATACTAGCTTCAGGATATTTGCATTGCTCACATCACTCTCTTCTGTTGAAACACTTCTAAAGTTTATCGCTACAAACAACGTAAAATTGATGCATTTGAATATTTCAAAGAACGAAAATAGAACGTATATTCATGTGATTGATGTGTAAATAAGATCTATTTAACATTTTTTAAAATCTAAATGTAATATCAGCTTGTTAGAGAATGGTAAGCGTCATTTATATGATTTTTAGTGGCGATTCTTCAAATATCTAGTAGTGAATTAATGTAATCAGAACAATTTCAAATCAAAATTCCCTAATAAATTATCAGTTAGACCTATTCGCCATAAACGAAAATAATAATCTCGAGATTCTGAAAAATGTAAATTAGTCGACTATTGTTCAAATATTATTGCTCCTCAGTTGAACCATTATGAAATAACTAGTACTTAAACAGTCACCACTTACCATTTTAGTGAAGCATACTGTGAACTATCAGAAGAGTCACTTAAAGAATCTTGATTAATAATTTCTGATGGTCTATGAAGAGAAAACAAAAATCAAATATTAATCAAAGTTGATAACTTTATAGATGTGGTTGTTTTTATCCGTTGTTGATCTTATGGACTGCAATTGATCAATCTCTATTGCTATGTGTTCTTCCTGAAGGAAGATAGCCTCAATATACACTTTAGTTACAAGTTCTTAGTATTTTCTGTATGTGGCTAGCAAAGAAATTTAGTGCACCTGTTTTGTCTTATTTGGAACTAGTCAGCTAGATTTATCTCTATCCATATCGATGTCCATATAGAGACCCGAACACAGTATTTTTACTTCAAACGCCAACGCGTTACTCACTTAGCTACTTGAGTCTGTTAATCCAACGCGTCAATTTTTAATTATTGAAATGCATACAATTCAATTATAGCTTCATTATTTATCAATCGACTTAAATAATTTAATCGCCATTCCGAGTTACTTCCAAATAATTTTAATTGTCTACAATATTCAAATTTTTGTACAAAACAACATTATAATAGTAGGATGTAGTGGTATGGGGGATAATCAACAAAGTATACGGATTTCCAAAGAACAAAGGACTATAGCAAATCTCCTACAATCAATTTCGATTATGGTTAGTTTTGGTTAAGACTTTTTATTAACTTAATAGATAATCAGTATGTTGTCTGTATAAACATGTATACTTGGTCACATGACAGACTCTAGCTAAAATGTTAATCACCTAAATATCGCTCGATGATTCATTCTCTTCCCCATGTATATATGTATTCGAATCCTATTATTAGCTTTTGATAACCCTAGCTAAGCCTTGATTCGACTTGACTATAAATTTATCTCTGTATTTGCTGACATACACACATTCGCCTCTCTGCTTCAAACCCGTTCAATGTGTTTATAGCTTTGTCATCCATGCTGTCCACAAATAAACTGTAGTTGCCGCCTTTTATTGCTTTCTGATTTCAAACACCGTTGAGATTTATATGATAACGGTTATAAAAGGTGATTAATTAAAGAAACAAAGTCACTTCAGGATTATAGTCAACATTTATGATCAATTATAAATTGCCTGGTTGAATTTCATTATAATTCAATACATATTCTAGTGTATTTTATTTAAGGCTAAAACCTAATACAAATATGTACATATTTATTCACCACTAAATATTATAACAGTTTTTTAAAAGCTACATCAACTTAACATTGTTTTATACGTCTATGCTGAGATCGACTGACCAATTCTCTAGAATAAATCAATGACGGGAAATTGCAATCTATGGGGAAATATATGCTCTAACCATAATTTTATTGAAAGTATTGTTGTAGTAAACGAACGCTGAGGTGAGGAGAACCAATTTATTGTTTAATACAAATTACAGAATGTTTTCGTAAAATATGCAAATCATACATTACATCATTTGCACATCTTTGATCAGTTGTCTCATACAAACTTCATCTTTCCTTCATTCTTGCTGTTACTACAATTACTCTCTGTTTACATTCCTATTCTCTTCAATTCGATCTTTTCAACCTTCTGCTCTCGACAATCCCAATTCTGATGGGTATTACTTACAACTTATATCTGTCGACATAAGTAGAATACACCATATTATAATTTAATAAGAATGAGTTTATATCAAGCTGATAAACTTCAATTTGTTAGAAAATCATACTATCAGTGGGTATTTGAGTAACGAAAATATATGTATGTAGTTAATAGAAAATGAACATTTTTCTTGGAATGATTTTCAGATTGGTAAGCAAACATCTGAAAGATAATCTAAAAGGTTTGGGTTAACATTCTCTATTCTGTTCATTAAGCAATTAAAAATACCTTACTTCTTAGCTGTCTATAAGCATCGTAGAAACAAATTTATAGACTAAGTATACTATTACAAGACAGCTATCATAGAGTTAAATAGTTCTAAGAAGTTTGCTTAGGGAAGACATTTATGACATAACGATATAGAAGTGAGAAGCTGAACTGGTAAGAGATGCTTTGGTTTTGCAAATTTATCGTAATGTGAATGTAAGATCTGAAGTTATATCAAGTAACCGAAGAAAGTCTTTTGTAACAACATAAATAATCACATACACCTAAAAGATTAAAAGTAAATTTTAACCATTACCAGATCTCTTCAATGTTACAATAAATGGAACCTTAAGTTAATTAAGTAATCATAATTTGAAAAGTATATTGATTATAATAAAATGAAAATAATAAATTAAATACGCTAACTCATAGAATTTTACCTAAACGATGTTTATGTATCAGTAGGGGTTTTTGCGGATATTATAGTAATTTCAATAGTTGAGATCATGAGTCAATTGACGCTAGACCACAGCCGTTTCATCCTATTTTGGGACTCCTCAGCACAATAGGACGAAACGGCCGTCCAGTGCTTCCAGGTTTTTTCATAGTGGTCTAGCTTCAATTAACTCATGATCTTAACTATTGAAATCGGTATTTAAATGTGAAATTTTCTCTGCATTATCTGAATTGATTTTTGTTAATTTGTCATGTTTATTTATCCATATATTGAAATGAGTTAATTAAGTTAACATTATGAATTCTGTACTGTTACATGAGTAAATGAATGATCATATGAAGTTATTTGAAACAAATGGTTGAATTGATGAAGAAAAAATATGTAAAACCATAATGACCATAAACCATTATATTACTGATTAGAAAAATTAAGTAACTATTACTCACCGATAAGCTAAAATGTTAGATGTTCTAAAAGGTCGAGGAATAAGAGACATCTCCTGTAATTGTACTCTATAAGATTAAATATGAGAAACAATTATATATCCTAAACAATTATTAAACATATTTAAATAAGCAAAGATGGATAGTAGCTAGCAATGGAATCCAGGACTGACTACTCAATCAAAAATATTATTCAAATAATTAACTGATATCTACCTAAAAAGTCAAGTAATATCGAAGTACTGGAAAAGATTATTGAATGCCTAAACTTGTACATTCGATATAGATGACAAAGTTTACTAAATCATTTGATCAACAACATAATAAAACTATATATGAATCAGACACATAAATGAACAATATTGTCTTCAATTAGGACTTCCTTTAGTCTTATTCTAACATACAGTTATATTTAGTATACATATATGTAAAACACTAAATCAACCAAAGGGTTTTTTGGAAAAACAACAGTGACAGTGTAGTATATCATACAATTAATAATAACAAGAAATAAACCTTTGTAGTCTGGTGTTGAAATAAATATGCGTTCTCTCATGTTACTAATTTATTTTTTATGTGAAAAACAAACAAATCTCAAAAACTTTGAACAAACTAGTCACAGCAGAACAATAAAAAATGAAATCTAATGAACTAGCGCTCCCTCGATTCTACGGTAGGCCGAAACTACACTAACCAAACATCCCATTACGTCCAATTTTATCACTCTCTGGAACCTCAACATACAATCTATCAAGAGAAGTTTCAAGAATACTGAACCATTTAATGGATTGATCCGACCTTTCTATTAAATCTCCCACACAATTCTTGGATAAGGTTAAGTAGAATCAAGTCAACAACGACGAACTGATGATATCCTTGGACATAACTGCTTTATTCACTTTAATCAAACCAAGCTTAACAAAGGAACTCTAACCATGCACCTCACTAACCACAGAAATCTCTCAGAGTACACGGAGCTTTAAAGTCTGCTACAACTCATCGATTTATGAATAACAACATATCTTCAACTTAACAATAAAATTTACGAACAAACGAAAAGGACATCAATGTGATCAGCAATGACAGGACTTACTGCAAAAGCAGTGTATCGGATTCTCAACGATAGTAGCAACAACCCAAGAACTCAAAAAATCAACTGCCTAAAAACTTTATTCAAGAGGAGGAAGGTACATTGTAGCACACTTGCAGAGCAGAAAAATGAAGGAAATTATTTAATAACCATCTTCCAAAAGAATGGATACCCAAACAAATTCATCAAAAAATATTAACCCAACTCATCAGCTGAAACAAAATTAAGTATGGGGACCAGTAAACTGATCATCCTACCATATATAAAAGATATATCAAAAGTCACGAAATTCTTGAAGCTATTCGGAATAGGTGTAGCACACAAACAAGTAAAATCACTTCAATCAGTCCTATGCAAACCAAAGGACGAAGTGACAAAGAAGCAAAACAAAACATTATCTGCAAAACAAACTTTTCCAGTTGCAAAAAACACTACATAACACAAAGTGGATGCCCTCTTCATCTTTGCCTGCACGAACATCAATTAGCGATCAAACGCCATGACACATGTTCACTTATATCAATGCGCAAGGACAGCTATGAATGCATAATCAACTGGGAAAATGTTGACATCCAGAATAGAAAGAATATTAAGAACACCAGGGAGTTTCTAGAACTTGGTTTTCAGGTCAATCAGCAATCAACAAGCACGTCAAGATATCAACGAATCAGAAAGATTGTGGACAAATATAGGTGCAAGAATCAAGTCAAAGGGAGATATAATCAAAATAAAGAGGTAGAAAATGATAGGATAAAGGCCAACAATAACCAACCAAGATCAAGGTCAACAGGAAAATCTGTTAGTCATATGCAGAGAAACTCAAATACTTTACTTCTACCCGAACTATGTGCTAATGATGTTGTTCAGAAGAACAATGAAAGCTCCGTGACCAAACCATCCAGCTCAGAGAACATAACTTCACCAAAATTTCTATATCAGTCATCAGACTATCATATTTTTGTTTCATTCTATATTTTTTACTAGTTTAGTGCTTATAATAAGGTCGTTTTAGTGTGATCAGGTAAAAATAGAACATGGAAAGCTTGTCTTCAGTGCCATTACAAAAAACGCTATCAATAGTCGGTATTTTCGAGATGATTCCCATCAGTGAACAGGATTCAGTCTTTTGAATAGCTAACTAATAGTCGAAAATGTCACGATTAAACATACCTTAATGTGAAGGAAATAACTAGCTATGCAGACTCATAACAGTGACAAACAGAATAATAGCTACCAATTTTTACACCTGAGAAGCGTGTATATTAAGACCTGCAGTTCAGTTAAATAATTTTTGCCTTTATTAACGTTCATGCACACTGTTTCTTATGACGTTTGTTACATGCTACTCACAAATAGCAAGTAGTTTGAGAAGTGCAAATTTATTCGTCGGTTGCTCTAGTGAAATTGTAACAATAAACTTTTTCCTTGAATTCCATGTCCTGGTTCAAACTACTGTCAACAAGAACACTGGTTTTTGGTGTATCAGTGTTTATAAATTCTATCCGGTAGTCTAACTTTGAAAGACAGTCTCAAATTCACTTTTGTTAACTACTGATATTTATACTCTAGAAAGCTGTGTTGTTTATTAACTACATTTTTATTCATTAAGTTGAATGACTAACGTTTTCACTAAATGTGCCTCCTAGGGTGTACTAATGACTTAAGACTTAGTATGAACCGGTATGTGAGGCTGTACCATATTAAATACAAATTAATGAACGTATACTCGATATAGAGTAGTAAACCATGTTGAACCAGGGACCTCTGAAAATAATACCTGACTGATGAAATCAAAAGAAAAAACTTTAAAACATAAAATATGCAATAAATATGCAACAATACAAAAAGTTAAAACATGTAATTTTCAGTTACTATTGGGTGAAAAAATGACCTACTCTTTGAATGTTTTACAGTTGAGTGCTCGTAAGCATAAAGTTTTGGCTTCTGAAGGCGATTTACATTTGAACCCGAGAACAAGATCTCTGTCATCCTCTGACTGAAAAGAAATATGAAAGCAAATTTTTAAGGAAAGCTAGGTTTACTACTGTTTTGGGAAGATATTTGCACTAATGATAAATCAGTCACTCATGGTCAAAATTATGAATAAAAATCAACCAGAGATTTAAAGGAACATAAAGAATTTATGTAATGAAGCTTTTGTAATTCATTTTGGGTCGTACAACTCAGCGTCTATTACCACGAAATACGACATTTGCTGTGGTCCTCATCAGAAGGTTGACATCCTGCGGCACAACCCAGATAATAAATCCGAGGTTTTTCTCTTTGTCTAATAAAACTATGCTTCATTGATGTCACTAAAACGAATCGCTATATTTTACAGTTTTGTGAGAATAACACTTATTCCCTTCAGAGAGTAAGTTAGTACAAGCAAAGGAATGAAGTGCATAAGAATCGATAATCTTCCAGATTTGCTAGTCGAATCGTAAGGATATTAGTTTTATGATGAAACCAGTTTAATACTGAACTAATGAAACAACAATAAATATGATTTATTTTTCTTTATAAGGAAATGTCACGAAGAGATCATGACAATGCAGAATACATGAAAACTTAGTGAAAACCTTGACGCAAAACAGAATAAATACAGATAAAATGAAAGCGCATTATATTATTTAGATGCTTTCAATAGTGCAATGTAAATTAAACTTTGTTTTCAAATACAAGTTAACTCAACATAAATGATGAATCGACAAAAGAATTTACCGGTTTTCCACTAACGACTAAAACCAAATTCTTTTTTTCTGGATAAATGTTTTTGATAAATGCCCTGTATAGCGATAATGGAAAAAAAACTGAAATTAGACCTCAATACTGAAAACAAGCGATAGCTATTTAAAACGTTTATGAGTTCGTATCATCAGTATAGGGTTGTGAAGATTGCTGAGTTCAGATTGATATCAAGAATAAATCAATGCTAGAAAACCTGGAAGTACTGGACGGTCATTTCTTTATATCACGGGACCTCCCAGCAGTGCACATCCACAATCCAAAAGACAGTTACCTACCGAAGACAATGGACGATGGTCGCGCAATATCATGAATTAAATGAAGTCAGACATTAAAACCGTTGGAGGCCAGCTCGGTGGCTTAGTGGTTAAGCGCTCGCGCGCGTGACTGGTGGGTCCTGGGTACAAATCTGGAGAGGCGGGTCCGTGGGTGCGCACTGCTGAGGCGACACACAATAAGACTAAACGGCCGTCCAGTGCTTCCAAGTTTTCCATGGTGGTCTAGCTTCGATTGACTCATGATCTCAACTGTTGAATTTTATTAATTAGCACAAACTAATTGAAATTAACGGATTGTAGAAATTCAATGCACTAAGAATTTCATCGAATAGATGTGTAATATGTTGTTTAAACGATTACAAACTAATTAATAAGTAATACACTAACTTCTGTTTTGCTTAAGAAATAGCAAGATCATATAGATTAGTTTAGCACTAATAATGGGATAAACATTGAACAATCGTTTGCTTTTTGTCAATTCAAGCTATATTTCTTGTAGGAATTTCTCATTTTCAGTTGTCACATAGTGAAACTTGTGGCAAGCCCATTTGGCCACTGTATCATCTGTCTATTCATTGTAACTTAGACTCGTAATTCACTATGTTAATTTCGGTGTGTATGATCGAATGCATGTCTGTACATTAACTTTTAAACTATTTTCCTATTGGTTTCAACGTGCAGATAATCGATAGTCTATCCACACCTGATTAACCCTCAAAAATATATATGGATTTTTTAACAAACTCACTCTCTCTGTTCCCATCGTGTGCTTGCTCACAATACGCTTGTGGATTATCATTATTCATTAATAATAAACTATCTCCATAACTGGTGTTCAGGCTTCTTAATAATCTCGAGTAAATCCGTAATTCTACTAGGAGATTAAGCCTACCTTAAATACTCAGTTACGGAATATTATTATTTGGAGTCAGATATTAAGGACTTTATCCATAACATATTGGTGAGCCCGACGTGATCCAATATGTTATGGATAAAGTCCTTAATATCTGACTCCAAATAATAATATTCCGTAACTGAGTATTTAAGGTAGGCTTAATCTCCTAGTAGAATTACGGATTTACTCGAGATTATTAAGAAGCCTGAACACCAGTTATGGAGATAGTTTATTATTAATGAATAATGATAATCCACAAGCGTATTGTGAGCAAGCACACGATGGGAACAGAGAGAGTGAGTTTGTTAAAAAATCCATATATATTTTTGAGGGTTAATCAGGTGTGGATAGACTATCGATTATCTGCACGTTGAAACCAATAGGAAAATAGTTTAAAAGTTAATGTACAGACATGCATTCGATCATACACACCGAAATTAACATAGTGAATTACGAGTCTAAGTTACAATGAATAGACAGATGATACAGTGGCCAAATGGGCTTGCCACAAACTAATGACCAATGGATACATTAGCCTAGTTTCTTATTTTAACTTGACTAATTTAATTTATATCAAAAAATTCAATGAATTTAGAAATTCAGTTCATTATATTCTAAAATTATCTTACTAAATGCCAGACTTGAAGATTTATAGTTTGAGTCATATTTGTGAACAAGGTGACCACTGTTTGTAGTTAACGATATTTCTTCTACTTTTATTAGTCTCCACTATAAACTAACTTCTTATAAACAACCTACAAAAAGCCCTAACTTTAATAAAGTTTTCCTTTTTAATTGATAAAAACATAAGTTTACAGCAGTAAATAAGATCATAAAATGATTTAATCAGGCTTAAAATAGTCTCAACAGTTGAGATCATGAGTCAATTGAAGTTAGACCACCATGGAAAACCTGGAAGCACTGGATGACAGTCCCATCCTATTGTAGGACTCCTCAGCAGTGAGCATCCACGACCCCGCCTCGCAGGATTCGAACCCAGGGCCCGTCAGCTTCGCTCCAGGCGCTTAACCAACTAGACCACTGAGCCGGTAATTGATGGTAAATACGTAAACAATAAATTACATAACTTTTAACACATTTTCATTGATTTTGTGTAACAAAAAATGTTTAAGCCAAGTTCTCTAATACATATGTTTTTATTATTTATAAATCAATACGTTGACCACAATTTTTCATTGTCGTCTGTTTAATTTATAATATTATTACTTTCATACTAATACTTAGTAATAAATTGCATTCATCATTTATGTGTTTTATTCTTATGTAATAGAGCTACACATCCCTTTACTATTGTTATGTTGACTGGATTCATTTATCGACCACCACTGTTAAATGATTCAGACAGTGGTTATGTGGTGAGCAGGTATTGGATTGACTGGAGTGCGAGGAACATATGAAATTGATTTTTTTCAAAATCTTCTATAAAATGTATTCAGATTAGTTATTGATGCCTAATTGTATGGTTTCGCAAATATATCTTCGTATAGTAATTTATTGATTAATCAATTCGAAGTACAGTTCAATTCAACTTATACTAATCTGAATACTAGTCTGACTGTAAACAACTCATATAGAAATTTATATATTCACATATTATTTTGATTTATTCTGAGGATCAAGTAAATCAATCTTTATGGATTTCTTATTTCCACTTACATCATCCGATTCATAGTGCCCCAGTATCAAGGATCAAATTAGTTTAGGGTTTTTTCGATATGACAAGTGGCACAACAACAAACTGAACTTCTCTAAATAACCCATTATTTCCTTTCTTTTCTTATGCGACTTAATACATGATTACATGATGTGGTGATGATACATTTTGACCAACGTATATGGATGTTTTAAATCATTTTCCAGTATATAGGACGATACCTAATGAAAACTTTTGAGATGATGAGCTAATCTTTCATTCAGAAATAAGGTATACACAAAGATTGTGAAGCTTCATCAAGTGGGAAATTAGTAAACATGCTTAAATTTAGATTTAAAAAACATATGTTTCCTAGTGGTTTAAATGTTAAGCTTGGAAAGAACTAAAAACTGACACCTGATAATATAAATCTGATCAAAAAAGTCCCTAAATATTCAGAGACCTTGTACAAGAAGTTATAGACTTCTTGAATAGATTTTATAAGAAACAGATAATAAATAATTTTAGACCATGGTAAATTCACATTCATATTTTATAAACTAGGCTATGATATCCTTATTCTGTTTATATATCATTTGCCTCTTCATCTCATTATTTATGTTCAAGTCGTACTATTTCCATATATTTCTTTGTTTTGATACGTTGTAACATGAAGTGACATATACTGTTCAATAATATCAGTAAAATATGATCATAAAACAGCCACATTGATCATAGATTACAATTTGAATAATAAGTATAATTAACCATAAGACAGTGAAAGACTGTACTAATACAATCTACAAGTTATTACACAATGTACATTTCATGTTGACATATTTTGCAAATAAACACATTTCCAAACGTACAACTTTCCTATCGATAACATTATAATTTAGAATAAATTAGTTAAAATCATGGAACCTAGATAACAGTAAACGTGAACATCTTTTAGACCACCCGGATGTAGCCACCAGTAAATCCTTTAATCTACAAAAATTGTCCTAAATACATTGTAATATACTGTTTAATGCTATTTCATTATTTACTTTTAGGTTCAATTTCATTTTTATTACTGAGTCATATTAATTACATGAATGCTGCATAAACATAATACAACAAATGAAGTTCAATAATATTTTTTAGCAACTTTAGAATTTTGCATCAAGACAAGCAAAATGTGAAGTTATCAACTATGTTAAAAATCAATGATGGATATTAGCTAGAAGTGAAATCCAGGACGTGCGTTTCGTTCTATTTGGGACTCGTCAGCTTATAATGCTTGTGAGTTAAGATAATATCGAGGCAATACGTATAGTACGCACATATGCCAATAAGAAACTGATCAATTGCAGTTCTAATCATCAAGTAAAACAATACCAAATATGTTAAAAATCATTTTTGATACTCAAAATATATCTTCTTAATGTTTACATCTATTGTTATTCTGATTAGTCAATGATTATTCCATTTAAATGATAACCGACTATAGTTGTAATTTGCTTTCAAGTCTAAAAATATTTAGTAAAACAAATTAAACTGTGAGATAGTTATTTGAAAGGTAGGTTTTAGACACAATTTTAAGTCTGCTAAATCTAAGGTATAAAAAAAGTAATTGATACTAAATATGTAATTGGTTGTATGCTTGTGACAAGTTAATTAATTAAAGTATCTATAATTATGTGAATTTAATTAGAAGATAGTATACTTACCATTCAAACACATTGATACTGCAACCATCCTTGAATATAGAAATACCTTTATAATTAAATCCAATACATAAACCATTTTGGCGTTGATCCTTGAAAAAAGAATTAAAAAAATGAATACTGTACAAATTCTAAAAGTTTATGGTAATTCTTGGAAAAAAGTAATGAGATTTGATTGATTGAAAAATTAGACTGATTAATTTCCTTTAAAAGTAAACATTCTTAAAGATATTTTGCTTTGTGAAGGGTTAAAAATTAACCTCTTCCCAAATGAAAACAATACTTAAATTCATTGATTCGTCAAATGCAACAACAATTTCTATTCCTTGTCGGATGTAAGGTAGTTATCTAGGCCGGGCAACAGATAAAGGGTTATACAATATCGTGTATTGATTGGATTTAGACTTGTATACACCTGGACCGTAGCTTAATGGTTAAGGGATAAGTGTCCGTACTCAAAATAGAAGGTTTGGGGTTTGAATTTCACGTGTGGGTTTGTGAACGGGTATTGTTTAGTAGTTCTATACTAAGACGAAACATCCATCCACTGCTTTTAGGTTCTAAATGATAGCCTATCGAAGATCAGCTTGTGATTTGAATTGTGGAAATTCTATAATCACCACAAATCCCTATACAAAAACAGTTGGCTTTTATCATTTTATGAGAACAATTTCCTAGATTCTCTGTCTAATCAATATTACTACTTTTAACCAGAACAATGTTCAAATAATAATGCACAAAATTTGGTGTAACAATTCTCAACAGCTAAGTGATAAAGATATAAGTCCGTCAGTCAAACAAACAACAATCATCAAATAAATTGTTAATCATAGATCGATATCAACTAGAAGATAATTGAAAATCAGGGAGCATTGAACAACTGTTTCGTACCCATCTTTTGCACCCCGACATTACATGTCTATTGAAACTGCATAATAATCAATAGTTCCTTTCGTTTTATTTCAGTGAAATTAAACTGAAATGAAAGTTACTGGTGGATAGCGAGTTTCCGAATATTTTTTGTCACATGTATTTTCATGGTTGAATCGATTATTCCAATAAATCTCAACAAATAAGAATTAAAATAATTATAATCTGTCTTTACTTATCTCTAACAAAGTTTGACGAAGCAAAGAAAATCTTTCAATGATTTTAAATATGCTATTTATTTAAAGAAAATAATCTTCTTAAGTATGTATTTACAATAACACTTGGTTTTGTGGTCAAACAACAGATACTATGAACATACAAAAATGGAAAGTGTATTACTTCATGATAACAACGTCGTTACATTTTTTCAATGCTTAATAATTCGGGTTCCTTTTTCTGTAGAAAACATCTTAGTTTTATTCTATTTCAGTAAAAAATATCAAGTTTAACAGCATTAAGAAATATGGGTTCCCTTCTATGAAAACCCAATAACTTTACGCAAGACACTTCTTTGAAACTCATTTATTATTAAATAATTTTTCCATCTGATCATCAAGATTTCAATGGTTTATTATTATATATATATTCAATTCGCTAATACGATAAATAACAATTTACCACCCATTTGGTTCAATTACAACTTCAAAATAACCACCAGTTTATAACATAATGTGGATTAAATGTTGAAGCACTCAGCTTTCAGTCGGTACATGATGATAATTCCCAATCTTCTTTCTGACCTACGTTAGTTAAGGCGACCAAGTAGTATTTTTGTGACCTCGTATTCGATTCCAATCAGATTGTATGCTGATTGTTATCGAAATATACATGTCACGAATCCTAGTATTTAATCATCGATTTCAATCACGTTAGTGAATAACGGAATTAAATAAGTCAAATACGAGAATGAATTCTGAATACATATACTTCGTACACTCATTGATCTGAACAGACAATCAGAGGAACAAAGGAAGCGAACAGGAGAAAGCGAAACGAAACGAAATGACTCGCAGTGTAGAAGGCGAGTGAATCAACCCAATTCGAAAAAGCGTGACTCAACATTTATACTCAGACAAAAATAAGTTAGAGATACACAATAAATAGAGTATGCAGTTAACACACACTCAAATAAAAATAGACAGAACTAATAAGTGACGAGGTCAAGATGTGTCTTGAGAAGTATGAATAAATTGGTCTGTCGAGAAGCTAGAGTAGTTTATGTGGGATTGACATAGTACCAGCCACTACAGTATCACTCGTCCTCATATAGACTTGAAAGAGAGACGTATTCAAAATATTAAATCTCTAATATCCTACGTCCTATATAATTCCCATCATCTTATCACTAGACCATAACAAATATATCAAGTGCTAAAACAACATTATCAGGGTTTCATTATCCCCATCCCCCCAAGTATTCTACAGTTGAACAGTTCAGTTAAAAAAGGGTAACAAAGTCTAAAGAATAACAGTACAGTCTATCCTCATCACATATATGTGTTTCAAGTTAAGAAAGGATTCATAAATTTAATTACAGTGCTTCTCTATAATCAAAGAATGCTCTTGTACCAGTTATAACTCAAGTATGTACCTTTGAAATATTAGTAGGAAACAACTCAACATTTAGTTATCTATGATATATAAATCATCGACAAATTACTTAACTGAATTATCTAACATAATTATAAAATAACTTCAAAAGAAAATCTTTTGTAATTTCACAGGTTGAAACAATGAGTCAACTGAAGCTAGACCACCATAGAAAACCTGGAAGCGGTGTTAATGTCTAACTTCGAGTACTCGCGCGCGAAACCAGTAGGTCCTGGGTTCGAATTCCGCGGGGTGCGGGATCGTGGATGCGCACTGCTGAGTCCCATGCTAGGACGAAACGGCCGTCCAGTGTTTCCAGGTTCTCCATGGTGGTCTAGCTTCAATCGACCCATGATTTCAACCTGTGAAATTTCTAAAAATCTCCACAAAACCCATTCTGATAAAATCTTTTGTCATAGTAAAGATAAGTGTACTATGTGACTTACTTTGAACCAATAAAAATGTGCATAGGTCAAGTTCAAAATGTGTAAGATTCATTCAATTTATTGGGACAACTGAAGACGTAAACGATTCGATAAACAACAAATTTTATCAGGAAAATTTTTATTAACTAGTGATTATCAGTTGTTGTAGTTTATCTTTGTACATATAGATGATTACCTTCATAAGTTTTGATATTCACAAAAGAGAGAATGTTTCAAAAACAATAACTAAAATTTCAAACGTTTTAACTGTTCCTGATCTAAAGTTTCACCAACAAAAATAAGACTGTGAAACTTGGAGGGATCAAAATAAAGTGTTGCTTGAATATAGTCTTTCGTCTTAGTGCTGAAATGAAGTGAAAAATAAATTCTATAGTATTATTTCTGATCTCCTTAGAAACACTGTAGTGAACAAAAATATCGTTGGGAACAACCGGATGTATTTGAGCACAAAATTACAGAACATCTCACTAAAATCTGAGAACCATACAATAAATAGTTAATTTTGCAAAATACCAATCAATTGTATCGATCCATCGTCTCAGATTTCTTCGTTCATGCATCTTCATACCAACTGCTTACCATTCCCGTTCTTTCCCTCTCGAACTTTAATTGAAATACATTCTATGTCTGACCATCGTTATAATCTACTTATGTGGCTATAAGTAGCGCATAGCATAACACTAAGCTTTCAAAAGTAGTAATTTCAGTGTCTATCGGTAATTAACGTTGAGGTAAATTCAACTAAATAAAACGACACTTACGTGAAGCTAGTGATATTACCGTTTGATGGAATAATAACAATGACTTTCTACTTTAACCATTAGTATCAATTCTTAGCAAGCACCAGGTGTAAGCGTATGAAGTGACTTAATTCGATCTGATATTAGTTTAAACAAACTATCAAATAAAGATCTCGATTAAACTTAATAGATCATTCCTATCAGATCTATCTTTTTATGCTTCTTAATTAATACCTCAAGGGTTTATTTTAAGAATTATTCATCCATTCTCTCTAAGGAAAAAAATCTCAGCCTAGAATGTGATATCCTGTGGTCAAGTAATTAAGTTGCTTGAAAATGCATTCAACAATTAAAAAAAACTGACATTGTTACTGTGAATAAAAAGTAGAATCTAAAGAAAATATTAACAATTAATAACATAATAATGTATAAATATTGACTATTAGACTCTTCGGATATGCGTAAGCGTACAGATTTGGATGATTTAAGGAAAACCAAATCGATAATATTGTTAAGTAAAATTGTACTATGACCACCAATTATAAAAGTACAAAACAACGAATATTTTGATCAATCTTTCATCAATTAAGTTATTCATAGCTGTTATAAAAACTTTTCACCTATTCAATATATATATATATATATATATATATATATATATATAAATTAATTACTAGACACATATTACTTAGACTATGGTCATTAAAACTGAAATTACTTCTTGTTTAGTGTTACAACTCATCAACGTTTTGTTCATTTATCAAAAAGTTAGTTTGATTTATTTCATGGTCATTACGAATTTACATTAGCTAAAGAACACGTCAAAAGTGAAATGCAATCAGAAGCTGTTTTGTCCGTACTCTACACTCTTCAGCGTCGTATCTAAAAAATCTTACATGGAACCAAATGTAAAAACTCTAGATAAATCAATTTTCATTGTAGATATTAAAGAGAAAAATAACAAAAAATTATTGGTAGACATTTTTAAATTATTAGATAATCTAATAATAAATTGCCGTACAAGATGAATTGGACCTGTTTCATGACGTTTTCCACAAAAGATCATTAGTATCTGTGAAATAGATTGAGATGGATGAAATGTCAATTCGAGGAAACCATTTTCTGTGGTATGCAGATTTAATGGAGTTTAAAATAAGATACAAATCACAGAGCTTGTAGACAAACAAGTTTGATCAGTGTAGGGTTGTGGAGATTGTTAAATTTTTGATTGAGATCATGAATCGAAGAATGCTAGAACACCATTGAAAACTTGGAAGCACTGGACGGCTGTTTCGCTCTCGTATGGAACTTTTCAGTAATGTGCATCTACGGTCCCGAACGTGAGACTGAAGGTCCCGAGTCCGAGTTCCGAAGCAGGATCGTAGA